TCAAGTATATTGGGTTAGTTGCTCGGTCCTAAGGTTGAGGCTTTTAAGGGCTTTTAACACAAAATGAAGCATTTTTTTCCTCCAAAATATAAACAAGATTGGCTCTTTAATAAATAAGATGGATTATTGTCAATGTTTTATTTTCTATTTTATCAACACAACGATTATGAATAATTATAACGATTATAATAACTAGCATAGTGAATAATGATGAAAGGATAAAATATAGCTATTGTAACAATATCTTGATCTTCCCTTTTGGTCCACTGATGTTAGGTAACAGGTTATTGGATACAGAGAGAGAGATTGAGAAATGGGGTTCAACGTCCACGCGACACAAACTAGGTCATTTTGGGACTAACACATAGTTCAATTTTATTTCAATAATTCGCTTGCGCGTAGGGGTCTTTAGCAGTGGGTGGAAACAAGAGGACCCCAAGAAAACCCACGAGGTTGGACAGGCGACCCAACTCCTTGTCACGTACATCCGGGGAATCGAAACCACGCCAGTTGACTCAATGACAGATCGTATGATACAGCACTCACATGCTAACCCTACGGCCATTCAACCCCCCCTATTGGATACAATGTCCTACTTTGCTTCATGCAGTGTCCTATGAGTGAATTTTGCAACTGCCAAAGGTTCTTTTACGCGTACACGTGAATCTATTTTTCGTTTTCTGTCAGGCTCCTTCCTTTATTTGCTTGAATGTGGAATTACGATGGAAATGGTTATAAAACTGTAAGCATGTTTTTTTTGTCTACTACAAAGTTAGATAACTCCAGTCGACCAACAGGAAGACCAAGATCTTGTAACAGATCTCATTTACTATATGTACAAATATTTAGCTTTACACCATCTTTCCATTTAGCATGATTCGATTCTGAGTTGTGCATAAACAGCAGGATTAATTTTATTTATTCTATTCTATTAATGGAAAGACAGTCTAACAGCCAATGCAGTCTATAATTTACTCAAAATAACAAAGAACAAATAGTACACATAGACGACACAGTGAATGTTGTTAGCTACCTATACCCACTACAAGACAACACACCTGTTAAAGCCCGGTAACATTAAAGTTGCAATTTCATATTTTTAAGGTATATTTTTAAAATGTATTAAAATAAAGCCTTAAAATAGATGGTATCTATAAACAGTCCTGCCTTGTTAAAGAATAATCCTATTAATCCTATAATTCACTATTGCCAGTTGAGAAATTGGCAAAAATATCATTTTCCTCTTCAAATTCAAACGTTTGAAGACAGCTACTCCATGGTAGAGAATAGAAAACAAGGGAGGTAATTGGGAGGTAATTGTGTTATTTCCGGTGTAAATGAGTTTTAAGTGTGAGAATGACACTTATGATCGTATAATAGTGAGTTGACAACTTATTGAGCAAAAGACATAGAAATAGCTATGTTTCGACTTTCTTAGAAAATATGAAATTGTAACTTTAAAGCCTACGCTGTTCAGTAACAAAATAATTTTTCATTAGCTATCAATGAGCTGGTTACTAGCTTTGATGTTTGAATTAGAAATTAACAGGGCTCCCTCCTTGAAATGAAATGAAATGGGGTTTAACGTCCTACTGTTTTGCTCCGAACTGGGCTAATGAAGACGGGCATACGCCATACAGTGTGCTATGAGGGTAATTTTGCCCGGACAGCGGCACTACGGCCTACTCTTATATCGAATTCCAACTGTCAAGGGATTTTTTACGTGCACGCCAATGTGTACACGGGACCTCGGTTTTTCGTCTCATCCGAATGACTAGACAGCTGTCCTTGTCAGGCCCTCCGTCCTGCATCACTGACAAGGGGGAACCACGCCGGAAAATCTGGATGAACTTTCTCGGCCAATGCAGGGATCGAACACCCGACCTCCAGGCTAGCGAGCCAGCGCCTTACCCACTTAGCCACCGTGATCCCCATCCCTCCTTGAAAATAAAGACGTACATTACAATGACAGGGTTGCTCTCAAACAATTGATATTCAAATATAACACTCCCAATTGTGCTGAACATCAAAATTTTAAAGATGGGTTCCCGCGTACAAACTCGGTGATTTAATGGTATATATGGACTAAAAACATATTCAAACTAATTAATTTGTCATAATTATGCTTCAAATCCTTCTCAAATGTAATTGCGAAGGAATATCCTGCTATAAAAATTCGATTGGATATCTCTACTTTCCATATATACCAAAATTACCATACTTTTATTGGAAATAACCACCCAATAAATACTTTTCTGGAACCCATCTTTAACATTTTAGAATTACAATATTTGACATTCAGCAATTATTTATAAAATATATATACCAAGAAACTTCTTTTCAATTAGCATTTTAACTAGGTTTTCATAATCATAACTAAAGTCCTATTTAAGTGATTTTGAGTTTCTCAATTTCAACAATTTATGAGAACTTGCTAATATTAAAGTTAATATCCTTCAATGACATTTAGAAGTAGAGATATTATTCATAATGAGACACCTTGATAGATTTACTACTTATTGGTTGATTACATGCAACATTTTAATACTCTTACAGGTATCTTTATCAAGCAATACTCTTACAAATATTGAGAATTGCATGGAATAAACCAAGAAATAATAAATCCATGAAGCTGTGTTATTATGAATAATATTAAGGTGGCTTATCAACATTTTAGAGATTTTGAAACCATTGCATACTACAAGTTGAATCTCTAAGAGAGAGAGAGAGAGAGAGAGAGAGAGGGGGGGAGGGTTAATGTCCACTCACACAAACTAGGTCATTTCAGGACTAACATATGGTTCAATTTTATTTCAATAATTCGCTTGTGCGTAGGAGTCTTTAGCAGTGGGAAGAAACAAGAGGACCAAGAGAAAACCCACGAGGTTAGACAGGCGATCCTACTCCTTGTAACATACAACTGGGGAATCGAAACCACGCCAGTTGACTCAATGACAGACCTTATGATACAGCGCACACACGCTAACCATTCGGTCATCCAACCTCCCACAATATTGTGAAAATTGAATCTCTGAAAAACCAGTCTAAAAACGGTTTAATTCTGTTGAGTTTACACAACTGTCTATATTGGACTGGATAATAGCGCCTAACAGGCAGCTGTGTGTAATTGTGCTCTTTAGAATTTGATCATTCTGTGTGTTTGAAGTATAGGTTTCTGATATAGTCCTTTTCCATCCAGGGGCCTGTTTCTCGAAATTTTAACGAAAGATAAAATCCAATTGTAGTAGATACTTCAATTTTGATTGGCTAAGCACTAAAATCAATCTAATATTATCCAATCAAATTACTAAAATTTGGATTTTATCTTAGTTAAAATTTCATGAAACAGGCCCCTGAGCTGTAAGATTAACTTAAAAACATTTATTTCAAAAATGTTTTTGAACTGTTTTGTTGTTAATGCGATGAGAAACACTCATGTGTAATGAAGCGCTATATAAATTAAATAATAATAATAATAACATTTGTCTATATTGTTACAAAATGCTTTGAAATTAGGACATTGTCAGTGGAAGTACAAGTAAGAGAGATCTACAATAGTATTAAATATTTACAAATCATAATAATGACTAAATCTATACAACTATACACATTGTTATTAAGTACAAACACTCTACATACTGATCACAATCGGATTAAAATACAGATCTATATTTCGTTTTTGTTTTTTATACTTTCGATGGCCTACACTACATGAAGATCTGACTGGTTGTACTGGAAGGGGTCAGGGGGTCGTACAAGCAGCTTTTGACCCTATAACGTCAGACATTTGATTAACTAATCAGCATTGATGTTACTCATGGATTACCCACAGATCCATGCAAAACACGCCTAAAGCTCGTCATAACGACCGTTTCATTGGCTAATCCTTCACACCATTCAGAACACATCAATGATAACAACTGTTTCAGATCCCAGTGTAGTAAAGACAAGTAAAACGAAATTTTGAACTATAAAAACGAAACGAAATAGGATCTCTGTTTTAAATCAGATTGTACTGATCACAGAAGTTAGACTTTATTTATTTTTATACAACGGTCTAACAAGATCTGTACTAAGATGAAATAAAATGGGGTTTAAAGTCCTACTTTTTCGGTTCCATTCTGGCTAAAAAAAAAGAGAGAGAGAGTTTAACGTACACTCAACACAAACTAGGTCATTTCGGTACTAACACATGATTCAATTTTATTTCAATAATTGGATGCGCGTAGTGGTCTGTAGCTGTGGGGGGGCAACTGGGGGACCCGGAGAAAAACCCTGAGTTTGACAGTTAACCTTTCGCCTTGTCACATACAGAAAAGGAATTGAAACCGTGCCAGTTGATTCAATGACAGACATTGTGATTTAACGTGCACCCTAGAAACCATTCATGCCTCCACCCTCAATTATGGGCCCTAAATTAGAACAGCTTTACAAATCATTACTCAAATCTAACTAGGAAGCAGTGCTCTGAATTAAACGCCTAGCTACGTTATATTCAGAGTTTTCATATCATCAATGACAACTGGTTCGATGGAAAAAAGCATAGCATACGTTTTACATAAACTATTATTAGTTTCTTGATATTTCATCTAATAAATTTACAAATAACAGTCAAGTAAACATAGTGAACAATAAAAATGTATACCCTTGTTTTTGCATGAGGAACTTTGTCACCATCTTCTTCTTGGTGCGATGCTCTTTAGCCATTTTCGTTCCTTGGCCAATTGCGCATCGATTGACAGACGTCAATTTTGGATATGACATCATAAATCCAAGATGGCTGTGTTGACGTCCTGCTTTATTCCTGGCAATCTGTTTCACAGAGTATTATGAAAGTCTTCTAATATCTCTGTAAACGCTGACTGCCTTTAACCCATGACGTCATATTATGCAGCGTCAATCATTGGCTCAATGGCACGTGCATTGTTTACATAAGACGTTACTGATTCGATCATTTTAATACCCATTTACACTAAAATAGGAAATAGTTTTTACCTACAAATACTTCAAACGTCTTTATTTATTTTTCAAATACATAAAAAACAATATTTTAGAATTTAATTTGTTGGAGGAAAAAAATTAATATTTGTGGCTCATTAAGTCGCATCGATGTCATCCTTATCAGTCATTGCCGCGGCCTAGCGAATACTCACTGCTAATCAGTGTGTATTCCTGGTTCATATCTATGATCATACTTGTTTATAAAGCTCATAAAAACAAAAATGGACAATGAACAATGAACAGATACACCATGAATGAATAAAACGCAGTATTAATAATTACAAATGATATGAATAAATAATTCTGTATCAGAAAATACGCCTTTTCCCATTTTGTATGAAATAAAAAGAAAATACAGACATTTTTTTTTGGTGGGATTAAAAATGGGAATTGTTACCCTCTGTAACTGTGGTATAAACAATAATCTAATATACATGTATTGTCTCCCTTTAACCTTATCAAATAAAACACTATTTATAGATAACAATTACTATGGTTTATTTCACTGCCAACAAGATTTCACAAGGCGTTATCAAGCATATATCAACACAAAATCTTAAAAAACTTATACGACTATCTATAAATTCTATCATATTTTACTGTAAGGCCAGTTTTTTACGTACACGATCTACCGGTTATATGGAGCCAGCCCCCTTATACTTGCATTAGACCGAACACACCCGAAAGCCGTGTTCATGGAATACTGGCCTGATGGTGGTTTACTGCTTCAGCGGTTATGATACATCATTACATTGTGTCTAAGCAAAACACTACAATATCTCTGGCCTTTAAACTTATTTGTTCTTATTTCAAATCTAAAAAGTCTACTTTTACTTTTATACAAACCTTTTTCTGTTTTGATACTTGTCTGTTACAATACACCAAGTAAAAATACAGTACAACTTTAGTTCAAACAAAACAAACACATACAGTCTAAATAATTTAGCTTACAATGGTTAAAAAAAAAGTTTCTTGTAAATATCAGTGAATACCACTGCTCCAGCTAATTAATATTACATTACAATTTCTTTTCTTTTGTCTTTTACATTTAAGGCTGTGTTAGTGCCTGGTTAACAATGTCTATATACTATCTGAAGCTATAGTGTTATGTGATCGTCGTGATTACCAAGTCTCTCAATTGCTACTATTTGTGTATACAACTGCTCCATCTAATTAATATTTGATTACTGTTTGTTTTATTTTGTTTTGACTTTTACAATAAATATCACCATTAGAAACAATACTGATATCCGATATCTATCAGATTGATAAAGGTTAAGTTCCAAATGTAACCCTGTGTTGGTGCCTGAATAACCCTGTCTATTTACTTTCGAAAGTTATGATGGATAGGTGATAGTCGTGATTATCAAGTGCAAGTCACTGATACCACTGTAGATATTTATTAGAGGGAGAGCTATGGTTGAAGTTGTTACAAAAAGCTCTGAATTTAGTGGACCTAGTCATCAGAAGTCGTGTAATTGGTTTATTCTTCTCCATGATACAATATCAAATACGATATGCAATGTACATGTCATGTCGTAATCACAAATGCAACAAAATGGGGTTCTTCCTCTCGTCCACACAACACGTCAGTCAATTTGAAACTAATTATACAGTTAAATATCTTTCTTGGGAGGAGAATTTTTAACAGGCAGTGGAATTTCTGCCTTCTCTTCATTGGAACGCTTGTTCAATACCACCACTGCAGCCAAAACACAATATAATTCAAGTTCTAACAACACTGTATCTAGATTCAGTCTCTGATACCGGGGATTCAGGGTATTATTTACATTGAATATTCTCACACAGATAAAATTAATTTAACATCCTTCATGAATTTGTTCTGATGATGTTATATAAGAAAAGTCATTCTTGACAATGATTAAATCTGATGTACCGTAAATAAAATATCGTCTAATTGTAACATGTGTTCACTGCCAGCAAATGGGTTCTAGCTGTAGGAATTCAGGTTATGTAAATAAAACATTGTCTAATTGTACAAGGGCTGCACACTCCCAGCGATTGATCGAGTTCAAGGTGTAGGAATTTAGGTCACGTAATAAAACATTGTCTAATCGTACAAGGGCTACATCAGGGGTACACACTCTCAGCGATTGAGTGCTGTAGGAAAATAGGTCATATAAATAAAACATTGTGGTAGGAATTTTGGTTACATTTTGAATGTTTAAATTTTCGGAGGTATCGTACCGTATAAAAAAAAGATCGTCTAATCGTACCAGGGGTACACTCTCGTCACATGAGTTCAAGCTGCAGGAATTTAAGTCACGTTTTGTCTTTTTAAATTAAACCCCGTCGCTTTTTGTAGTCTTCTAGGTTTAGAGAGCGTCTCGGTGTCACATCGCGCACAGGTTGTGAAACACGACTCGTCATCACCATCGACGGGTTACTAGCTGGTACGTCAAGATCTATTTTAATTTCAAAGTCATGAACAGCGAAAACATCCTCCACTTCCTTCTTATCACTTGATTTACCCGAAGTGGACTGAATCCGTGAATCTGACATCAAATCATCTAAGGGAGGTAATTCCCCTAACACCGGCTTACTTTTATCAACTGACGATACTATTTTCTTTCTAGCCTCTAGTATTTTCACTGCCTCTGGTTTTTCAGCATTAGCCTTGGTGACAAGTGTCGGTCGACACTGACGCCTAGTGAAGGGATCGGCCGAGGCTATTTTAGCCTCCGCAACTTCAACTTTGAAAGCCTTTTCGGCTTCAATGATGTTGTTGAGACGATTTCTCTGATTAATGAAACTGATGGAGTTAATCGTGCTCGTTCGTTTACGATCAAGTTTTGTGGCTCTGTCTTCCAACTCTTCCAGTTCCTGACTGGTTGCGTTAACGACGGTCTGATTTCCGCTGATTTCAGCCTGCTCCTTCTGTTTCATCAGCTGTGTTTTCTTGATGGCATAGTTATGAGGGTTCTTTCTGAAACGTTGTTTTTCAGCGACCATGGTTTTGATATCTTCATCTTTAAATTGGAAATTAAGGGCTGTTTTCATGTCTGATAGCTTTTTATCAATTTCCTCGACAGTCGGTAATTGAGCGCCACATAACATCACAGCTTCTTTCCATTTCTGAAACTCTGTGTCCGTAAAATCTTGATTGGAAACGAATTCAAGTCGATAAACACGCTCAGCAGCTCCATGTCGCAATTTTAAACCCTTGTTTGTCCTCGTTGAGCCAAGTTGATAAATTTTAGCAGTTTCTACAACATCTAATATTTCAGCAACACGATAAATGGCCCTACCCTCATGGTTTCCTATACCAATTCTAACAAAAGCTCCAAGCACCGTTTTCTTAAAGAATGGCATGTGACACCATTTCTCCATTTTGTGTCTGGACAATCTAATCTTCGCTAAATCTTCCTTACAAGAAATAGGAACTGCCTTTTTTGACCTGTATTCTTCGTCTTCCGATTCCGAATGATATGACGATCTGCTGGAAGCGTCTGAATCTGAATCATCTTGAACTCGCTGATTTTCCTTCTCTTCTCTCTTCTTGTCGACCTCATCATCATTATCATCATCGTCATCATCATCATCATCGTCACTGTAAATATCACTGGCCTTAAGTGGTTTCTTTTGTTTTTCCTTTGCTTTTTCCTCTTTGTGCTTTTTTTCCTCGCGTTGGGCTCGTAGAGTCTCGAGCGCGGAAATCTTTTTACTGTCTTTTTTACTCTCGAGATCTTTTCGTCTCTCCTTACTTCTGTCACTCACAGATTTTAACTGGTAAGACTCGGATGATTTTGATTTCTTATTTTTTTCCTTCTTCTTAGCTTTCTTCAACTTTTTCTCGATTTCAAATCGTGTTTTCAGCACGGATCTTCGCTCCATTCGATTAAATAACTCTTGTTCTCTTTCCTTTTCCGTCATCTGTTCCAACATTTTTTTGTCCTCTTCATCTCCAATCAAGTTTTCATCGTAGCCATCAACAAATTTCTCGTCTTCCGATCCCGAATCTGACTCCGAGGCCGATCCGCTTCCAGAATCGGACACTTCCCCTTCCTCTGGTTCTGAAGCACTCTTATGACTACCGCCCTCGCTATCGGAAGAACTGATCGTAGTGGATCTTCGCGATTTTTTAACTTGTTTGGGTTTCTTCTTTTTGGGACTCTTTCCATTCATCGTCCAGTCCTCATCACTACAAGATGTCCCTGAATCACTGTCCGCATCAGGTTTTGGGGCGTCTTGCGATTCTGAGCTTGGTCGCTTTCTTTTAGCCAAGGCTCTTAGGCCTTCATCTAAATCCGACCCACTGTCACTATCTTCTGACGAATCAGAATCAATCATTGGAGCACTCTTTTTCCTCTTAGACATTTTGACCTGAAAAGACATAAACCAGGGATTAATTAAGTTTGCTAGTGGGGATCACGGTGGCTAAGAGGGTAAGACGTTGGCTTGTTAGCCTGGAGGTCGGGTGTTCGATCCCTGCATTGGCCGAGAAAGTTCATCCAGATTTTCCCACATGGTTTCCCCATGTCAGTGATGCAAGACGGGGGTCTGACAAGGACCGCTGTCTAGTCGTTCAGATAAAACGAAAAACCGAGGTCCCGTGTACACATTGGCATGCAAGTAAAAGATCCCTTGACATTTGGAATTAGATATAAAAGTAAGTCATAGTGCTGCTGTCTGGGCAAAAGTTCACTCATAGCACACTGTATGGCGTTGCCCGTCTACATTAGCCCAGTTTGGAGCAGAACAATTGGACGTTAAACCCCATTTCATTTCATTTCAAGTTTGCTAGTGTACAGTGAGAGAGAAAGGGGTTTAATGTTCACTTGACACATACTAGGTCATTTCAGGACTAACATACGTTTCAGTTTTTATTTCAATAATTCGCTTGCACATAGGGGTTTTTAACAGTGGGGGCAAACCAGAGAAATATTGATGATTAGTGGATTTTTATAAGATCTGAACGTCTTTATTAATTTGATTTACATAAGGTGTTAACTTAGTGTAATTTGATTACTTTTTTTCTTTAGTAACATCAAGTCTGGAGAGAGAGAGAGAGAGAGAGATGGGGTTTAACATCCACTCGACACAAACTAGGTCATTTCGGGACTAACACATGGTTTGATTTTATTTCAATAATTTGCTTGCACGTAGGGGTCTTTAGCGGTGGGAGGAAATATTAGGACCTGAAGAAAACCCACGAGGTTGGACAGGCGACCCTACTCCTTGTCACGTACAACTGGGGGATTCAAAACCACGCCAGTTGACTTAATGACAGACTTTATGATACAGCACGCACATGCTAACCATTCGGCCATCCAACCTCTCATCAAGTCTGGAAATAATAATTTTAAATGAACAAGTTGTACCTGACAAGTATCTGAGCACTAAGATTTCTAAGGTTTAGCAAAGGTTAGTGGCTTTGGAGAGTTTTCACATGCAGGGTTTCTAAACTGTTCAAATAGGTTGATATATTCCATTATTCTGATTAATAAGGGAGTAATGCTACATGGTTAAATTTTGAGACTAATAGATGGTGATTTCTATCATTTTTCGTCTCATTCACGTAAGATCGACAACCTAGCAAGCACATGGAAATCTGGCTTAAAAAATTCAAAAGGATCTTTATTCGGTCCATGCCAGAATTTGAATTTGATCAAAAGCTTGGATTAGGGTACCAGGTTTTAAAGAAGTCCACTAGTGGAATCTACTAGGTCTGGGTGATAACACACCAAACAAAGAATACATTTAAATTTATAGGACAGACAGACAGACAAAAATTGTTTAGAAGAACTATAGGCTTAATGTAAACTTTTGCTACAGGTTGTTTTATGCTATGTTTATTCCTCCGACATTGTATCTCAATTTGCTATTCTTATAACGAATTAGTACAAGTCATTTTTTCTGATCTTCGTCATGGAAAGTTTGCAAGTCATTTTTCTAATCTTTGTCATGGACTGTTTTCAAGTCATTTTTTTCTGATCTTCGTCATGGAAAGTTGGCAAGTCATTTTTCTAATCTTCGTCACAGACTGTTTTCAGATCATTTTTTCTGATCTTTGTCATGGAAAGTTGGCAAGTCATTTTTCTAATCTTCGTCATGGGCTGTTTTCAAGTCATTTTTTCTGATCTTTGTTATGGAAAGTTGGCAAGTCATTTTTCTAATCTTCGTCATGGACTGTTTTCAAGTCATTTTTTTTGATCTGCGTCATGGACCGTTTACAAGTTATTTTTCTGATCTTTGCCATGGAAAGGTTACAAGTCAAGAAATTTTCTTTGTTCAAGGACTAGTTTTATATTCATGACAGGAGGCTTAGAGTTAGGGTTAGCAATTTCAGTTACGAAAAACAAGATGACAAAAGTCAGAGAAAACAGTAGAGTCCCAAAAATGACTGATATGCCTGCATTAAATCTTCCACATCTACTCGGATGAATAGCAATTTGGCAAGTGAATCCAATGTCGAACGAATATCCACCATGTACAAATTAAACAGATATAAATATGAAATCTCTCTCTATAAGTAATATAGTCACTTCAAAAATTAGAAGAGAAGTGGTAATGCGAAATTGGATCTAAAATAATCTAAGAATTTTGGTCTGGGATACATGTTTTACTTTGTAGTCTGTCACAGGACAAGATGGAAGAAAATGTACGAATACAATTTCAAACATTAGAACATAAATAAGAAAAAGTAGTCAGACATCCGATATAATAGTATCGTCCATCCATGGCATTATCGTATTATTATTATTCAACAACATTGAACATCAAAACTCCTTTTATCTCAGAATATTCTATCCATTTTATGTCCATTTGTTTTTGTCTGTAGATGTTTATGGCTTGGGAAGTTGAAATATGAAAAAATGTTAATGTGAAAAGTGTACATAGAATGTAGAGTAAGCTATGTTATGTTGGAGATAGGCCATTTTTTCCAAGTGTGGCAATGTTGACTAATGCTGTTGGGAAGATGGGAGATTAGTTTCCATTAATTTAGTTTTGGGGGTAATTTTTCATTTAGTTAGGAACTAAAGATTTTCACCTTTCGCTTTAACTAGCGCCTGCCACAGAAATAGGGCAAAATTGATCAAATTTTGATGAATTTTACGATTTAAATGAAGTCTCTTTCAACCCCATTTCATTTCCGGCTACTTTGTAGCTTCTGTTATCAAGCCACTTCAGTAAACGGAAATCGTTATTACTGTTAAAGAGACTTGGAAACTGAGTCTATAAGTCTGTTTATTACTCTGTTAAAAGAGTTTTTAAAGGGAGTTAATTTTAATGCGGAGTTAGCACACAGTTAAATAATAAAAAAAAATGACAGTTTTCAGTATATTTTGCAGTTAGTAGGTAATATTCTACTTCAAAGTTCTTTCCCTTTATGCATGCTACTATCCTAAACTAATACTTCAATTTTTGATATGAATTGAGTGCACTTTATTTTAAAAGATAAAACAAAAGTAGTGTATTTCGTTTATCGATCGCTTCGACGCACGGTTCGCAATTCTTATAGCATCTCCACAATAAGAAGACAGAATGCGTTTAATATATTGAAAGATCGCCTAATAGGAAGTATTCCGATTCCCTCTGGCCCAGTTTTTTGCACCGAAATGATTTGTAACAATCCAGTAGACAAATTAGAAAATTACCTAACATATTACAGGTAGCTCTTCCATAATGTAGGCTTGGCCTATGTTTAAAAACTTTAAAAGGTGAAAAAAAGATACAAAATAAAGGTAACATTATGGAGAATAGATAAAGTAATTACCAGCTGTTAGAAATACATATTTTTTTTTATTCCTTATTATATATTATTGTACCCCAAAATGGAAATGTCTTGATTCATGCGCTAGGAAATGAAAAAATGTTAAATAGACCAAATACAAAAAATGGAGGGTAAATATACATGTAACAGAGGCGGATTCAATGGGGGGCGCGAGGGGCGCCTCCCCCCCCCCCTAATTTTCGACAGTGCCCTTTTTTACTGCTGAAAGTGCCTTTTCTCAGACTCAAATATGTCCGTTCCCAACCCGTTGTAGGGATCCCAAATGACTCAAACCATCGACTCAAACACACCAGTCTGGGAAATAGCTCTTGGAATGGCTACAGATGCAAGGAAATGACGGATAATTTTCTTGGGGACCCCCCCACCCCCTCAGCGGCGTGCCCCGTCTCCGCGGTCAATGCCTTCATTTTGCAGCGCCCCCCTTTTCAAAATTCCTAGATCCGCCCCTGTGTAACAATCTTACTTTCTCAATGCAATACAGCGGTACCGGTGTAGTACCGAAAGGCCCACTCATCACTTTCATCATAAAATAGTTTTACGTTAATTAAGTTCGGTTTAATCGGGGTGTTCCCACTTAGCCGACAGGCTTTGCCGCTAATCCAGAGTTAATCCTAGAACAATGGTGTTATAAACTATAGTCCATATCTTTTTTAAGACTAAAACTGTATTGATTTTAACAAATTTAACTTTTATTAAATAACAGTGGTAAGAACATCATTCTTGGTGTTTACAGTAGCTGGACAAGTTTTTGTTGAACATTTCCAATCAAAGGATTAACAGCCTGCCGGCTAACTGGGAACACACCGTTTAATCTTTCAAGGTACTTAGTGGGAGGTCTATAATTCGTCATCATTAACCAAGTAGGCCTATTGTTTTTAGTCACATCGCATTTTATATGCTTGATAAAAAATATTAGTGGAAATGTCGCTCAGTAATAAACACTAACAGTATTTCATCCACAGAACTGTGGAATATATTTGCTAAATGGGGGTGTTTATCTGCTAAATATTGTTTTTCTAGTCTAGCCCCCCTTGTCAGTGGTGCAGGGCAGAGGGCCTGACAATGACAACTGTCTAGTCGTTCGGAGGGGACGAAAAACCGAGGTCCGGTGTTTACATTGCAAGCACGTAAAAGATCCCTTGGCAGTTGGAACGCGATATAAGAGTAGGCATATAGTGCCGCTGCGTGGGCAAAATGTTCCTCATAGCACACTGCTGTATGGCGAATGCCCGTCTTCATTCGCCCAACAGTAGGATGTAGGCCTAAACCCCATTTCATTTTATTTTATGAAATGAAATGGGGTTTAACATCCTACCTTTCTGCTCCTAGACTGGGCTAACGAAGACGGGCATACGCCATACAGTGTGCTATGAGGGAAATGTTGCCTACTCTTATATCGAATTCCAACTGCCAAGGGATCTTTTAAGTGCACGCCAATATGTACACGGGACCTCGGTTTTTCGTCCCATCCGAACGACTAGACAGCTGTCCTTGTCAGGCCCTCCGTCCTGCATCACTGACAAGGGGAAACTACGCTGGATAAACTTTCTCGGCCAATGCAGGGATCGAACACCCGACCTCCAGGCTAGCGAGCCAGCGTACTTAGCCACGTGAGAGAGAGAGAGAGAGAGAGAGAGAGAGAGAGAAATGGGGTTTAACGTCCACTCGACACAAACCAGGTCATTTCGGGACTAACATATGGTTTTAATTTTATTTCAATAATGCGCTTGCGCGTAGGGGTCTTTAGCAGTGGGAGGAAACCGGAGGACCCGGAGAAAACCCACGAGGTTGGACAGGCGACCTTACTCCTTGTCACGTACAACCGGGAATTCGACCATTATAGAGACTAACGTCGCTGAATAATAAACAGTAATTGCATTCCATAGACTTAAATTGTGACCTGTGTATGGTAAATAGAGGATGTTTATCGACTAGATAGTGTTTTTATGAAATTGTTCTAGATACTAGTAATCACGTGATGTTTACACATGTACTCCCGCATTGTGACGTAACCTGAACTATTGCAAAGATCATTAAACGGAACTCCATTATCGTATTATGTAATTTAACACATATATGCGTTCACATATTGGCATTTTAATCCAATATAAAAAAAATCAAATATTAAAATAATCTGCAAGGAAGCAAATGCAAATATGCAATATATAAAATTCGAAATATTTGAAGATGAAAAGAAAGAATTTATGAAGTTATCCCCCCTGTCGAGATAGGGTCACTTAAAGAATGGACGGATCGTCATGAAGCTACATTTTAATTCAAATTAATTCAACAAAATAAATAAATGAAAAACATTAATGCAAAACGAAATAGATGTTTTAAGTTTTTTTTTAGGAAACGAAAAAATTGACTTTGCACCTTACTAAACAGCTATAACATTTTAAAAATTATATAAAATTGTATGGTGTAAAAACAATCTGCAGAATTAGTGAGGTCGAATCAGCATGTTGCAAGGTAAATTAATCATTTATGAGTTTCCACATTCCAGAGGTAACACTGATAATTGCTATGATTCATGTAACTAGATCTTTTTTTATTTGTCGTTTATTTTGACCGGTTGGGTGGCTGAGCGGTCTAATGCGTGCGTTTTATATCACGGTCATGGTCTGTCATAGAGTCAGGTATCATTTGTGGTTTCGATCTCTGCGAAAGACACTTTTAAATAAAATGTAGCCCAACATGATCTAATAATTTGTGTTGAGTGGACGATATTAATATCCTCCCCACACACACACACACACATACACACACACACACCCCCCTCTCTCTCTCTCTCTCTCTCTCTCTCTCTCCCTGAGTGTCATCGACTTCCACAGACAAAAACCGATAGCCCTTGAGTGGAGGTTACTCCCTTTCCCCACACTTCTAAAGACTCTCTCTCTCTCTGAGAATTTACGGAAAATGCCAGGTGCCCCGATTGACGCACAATCAGGAATCCCCGGTCTCTTCTAAAACTATCACGACGGAGTGCACTCGGACTTTGGGATTAGACTGACATGATGGAGAATGAAACTGAACTGAAAAAAACCCTCCAAAAACTAACTATTAGTACAGTGTCAAGACATATTTGAGGCTTAAAATGTCACGTAACATATTATACTATAATGTAATATACACACCAGCTTGCGGGGTAGATAAATAAAAATCATCTATTGTTCTCAAATGTATTTTGGTTTTGTTCTCAGATTAAATTTAACTTATGATTATATTGCTAAATATATTTAGACGTCACGGGGAATATAATAAGTGGTTTTGTGGCGAATCATACGGTTTGAAAACCATAACCCACAGTATGTGGGTTTTATTGGGCATACCAATTACATTTGTGACATACTGGTTACAAGATATGCCGACCGTAAAAAATTTGGTAATATTTAGTCTGAAATATCTTCCCCTTTTATATTCTTTTGTTATTTTGGGAGCCGCTGTGGTTCAGCGAGTAAGACACTGTCGATGAGGTCTCGGGTTTGATACCGGCGTTTGCCAAGAAACTTCCATCCGCGGCAATTTTTAGAGCGGTTTCCACTTGTCAATGGTGCAAGTCGGAGGACCTGACAAGAACAGATGTCCAGTTGTGCGGATGGGACGACAAACTGCAGTCCCGTGTACAAATTAGCGTTCATGTAAAAGCAGCCTTGGCAGTTGGAATTCGATATACGAGTATAGACCGCAGTGCCGCTATTCGGGCAAATCCCTCCAATGCATGTAAAATGTGATAAACACACATAATACATGATATTATTTTATATGCTACGACAACAGTGTACGACAATAGTGAAAACAACCCTATGTAAATGTTTTGTCATGACAAATATAATTTATATAGCTATTTTGAGGCCTATATTTGATATCCGGGTATTTGAATGAAATCTGAACTCCCTTATTTATCTTTAGGATACTCAGGGGCGGATCCGGGGGGGGGGGCTACTGCATAAAAAATGTTAAGTAACACTTTTTATGAGAAAAGTATTATGGTCATGTACTTTATTCTTTACCGTCCGATTGTGGGATGGGATGGTCATTTAAAGCGCGAAATATGTGATATCACAATTAATGCTTTCAAGGCCAGGGGGAGAGAACCCAGCCGACCTCCCAAAAGATACATTGTCTAAATTTCCTGGATCCACCTCCTGATAGTCTGCGTTAATATTATTTATTTTGGGCTGTAATAGTCCAATCTGATTAAAATACAGATCTATATTTCGTTTCGTTTTTTTATACTTTCGATGGCCTACACTACATGAAGATCTGACAAGTTATAGCGATAGGTCACGTCAGGGGTCAAAAGACCGACTTATGACCCTATGACGTCAGACATTTGATTAACTAATCAGCATTGATGTTACTAGTGGATTACCCACAGTTCCGTGACAAACACGCCTAAAGCTCGCCGTAACCGACCGTTTCATTGGCTTATCCCTGACACCATTCAGAACACAAGTTAAATAACAACTCTTCCATATCCAAGTGTAGTAAAGACAAGTAAAACGAAATTTTGAACTATAAAAACGAAACGAAATAGGAACTGTGTTTTAACCAGATTGGTAATAGTCATATTATGATATATAGCACAAGGGATAGGTATTGGCATTAAATAATATGTTTTAACGTACCACTACACTACACCAATCGGCCAACGAGGGAAATTTGAGCGTTTCCGCTTACTATTCCAACTGACATTGGTTCATTTAACGTCCGCTTCCATCGAAGTGATGTCGCAGATAAAGCCCATGTGCACACGGGTGGACCTCATACTGAACTTAGACTGTCTGTCTACAGTTATAGCCCCGAATGGGAACAGACACTAAGCTAGTTGACCGACATTTTAAGTCCCAAATCGACGCTTTTAGTCGAAAACAGTAAGTATACTTCGAGAATTTTGTTAAAGTAGTTATTCTGTTTCCATTAATTAAAATTGAAAAAGTTTATTTAGTCTTTGCGTGTATTGCAAATGTGAAACGGAGTAGAACCACACATTACAAAACAGTAAACTCATTTTTGGATATGGTGGCCATTTAGGGCAGAGATCTATTCTCGAAGTATGAAGGACATGTAGATGATCTCTGTCTGTAGAATGAGGTGGACCTTTGCTATTTTGTATCATCATAATTATTAAATGTTTTCCTATAACTCCCAGTCCTCCACCACTGACAAGGAAAACCCAGACTAGAAAATACAGAGGATCTTTATCGGCCAGACCTGGGATCGAAACCGGTTCACCCTACTCACCGTGGTTGCTCCAGGAGAATGGGACCATGCGGATGTAAAATAAAATGTTCGGTTTATGTGTGCAGACGTCTAGCACGCGCCTTGTACAAATGGATCCAGCAAACTCGCACAGTTTCTCAGCATTAAGCTCAGTTAGCCTACATGTATAACCGGTGGTCTGTATTAAAGGAGCTAAATCGCTAATATTTGGGACCTAGAAATTGACCGAAATGGGTCGCAACGCATATAATAATGTAATCTGATTGTATATAAACTGATTTACATTCAATTGTTTCCGTTTTGACTCTAATTTCAAATCAGTTAGGCCCAGCGAAATACGGCATGAGTCTCAACCGAATAGAAATTTCTAGCGTCTGGTTATTCTAGTCTATTGCGCATGCTCTCCAGATAAGTTATGGCGTCGCCGTATGACATGAGTTGTGGAATATGTCTAGCCTCCCTCTTTCTGGTCACTTATTACAAATGACGATGAAACGCACTATGGTACACGATTTGTGTACCAATGGTAAAATGTTTATTTTGTCTTAAATATTGGATATCAGAAGCCTACCTTTTCCCGGCAAGATAACAACATCAATGTTGATTTGAATTGACAAATTATTCGTGTTTTCAACGTGTAAGACTTTGGACGATATTGAGTTACAGACTTAGCTACTTTAACAGTAGCGTCATTAATTATAATTTATAGATTTATTTATCTGGGTCAATGTACTATTATTATCTCTGGTAGAGAGATTTATTTATTAACCAGGGAATGAGTTATAGTGACCCACGCCAAATCCTGTACGAGTCTTAACTCCACCCCTATAAAGCACGCATGCGGTTTCCCAATTAAATAAAGACTTTTGAATAATAAATTACAGTATTTGCAATCTGATTAAAATACAGATCTGTATTTCGTTTCGTTTTTTATACTTTCGATGGCCTACACTACACGAAGATCTGACCGATTGTGGTGGGAGGTCGCGTCAGGGGTCATACGAGTGGCTTTTGACCCTATCACATCAGACATTTGATTAACCAATCGGCGTTGATGTTTCTAGTGGGTTACCCACAGTTTCGTGCACCTCACGTCAAAAACTAGCAGTACCAGACCGTTTCATTGGCTAATACCTCGTATCATCCAGAACGCGGATTATACATCAACTCTTCCAGATCCTACACTGTAAAAAATATCCATTTTTTATGTGGCCGAATTCCGTAATTTAACACCTTTTTTCTGTTAATCGATGGATTTTTTGGAGAAATTGTGTTAATTGTCTGAATTATTTCTTCAAATTACGTGTTTTATGTATTTCTGTGGAATATTCAGTATTAAACAGGAAATTTCCGTGAAATTTAGGGATAAAATGTTTTATTCCCTTCTATAACGGACTTAATTCTGTTATTTTACGGAATAAACGGTGGAATGACAAGGAAGTTCCGTGAAATTTAGGGATAAAATGTTTTATTCCGTTCTGTAATGGACTTAATTCTTTTGTTTTACGGGATAAACGGTGCAACGATAAGTAATCGTATACATATATAATCATTCCTAATAATCATCATGTTATAGTATTCATTTCAATTTATTAACCATAATATGAAGAATCATATTTTGTAACGTTTGGTATATTAATTGACATGTATATCTAATTTCCATTATTTATAAGATCTATAAAGTGTATTGTTATTCATCATACGGTAATCAGATTGTAAGTATTTTCATAAATATGTAAAAGTATGTTTTAATGCTGCGGGTGTTGTCTACGATATCACCTTAGGTGGAAGTGGTCGTAAAACCCCAGAAACGAACGAACGAACTGCGGGTGTTAAGGTTGTAATATCTGGTAATCAAGCACGCTAAAGTCCGGATAGTACAACCGGTTGGCCAGTGTAAGTCGGTTTGTCTCTATGGCAGAGTCTGCATACCTGCGAATTGATAATACCGCAAACTTACATCTGAAAGCCTCCAACCACTGACGAGTAGCGGTTTGTGATACCTTGCTCTCGTTTCTTATGATGGCGAAAAGAGGTTACGTTTAAAAATTATTTGCGATATCACTTCGGTGGAAGCGGACGTTAAATAAAGCTATTTCACGCACGCGTATAAAGTCAATGGTTAATTCAATGAAATTTTTATCACCTTCATGGTCAGGAAACAAAATTTACCAGGATTTTTTTTTTCTGTATTTGAAAATGGAATTTATGTTAATTGAAGGAATTTCTGTAAATTACAGGAAAAACAAATACGGATAAAATTTTCCTGGTCATTTTTGTTTCCGGAATTTTTTACGTTTTTTCACGGAAATTTTTGTTACAGTGTAGTGTAGTAAAGACAAGTAAAACGAAGTTTTGAACCATAAAAAAAAACGAAACGAAATAGGATCTGTGTTTTAATCAGATTGCAGTATTTGTGAACTTTAAGTTAATGAAAGATAAAATATTTAAAGTAGCTAAGTCTCTAACTCAATATCATCCAAAATCTTCAACATTGAAAACACGATTTATTTGTCAAATTAAATCAACATTCATGTTGTGATCTTACCGGAAAAAGATGGGCTTTTGATATCTAATATTTAAGACAAAATAAACATTTTACCATTGGTACACGAATCGTGTACCATAATGCGCTTCAGCCCCAGTTGTATCAAGAGACTCGAGGGACGAGGCTAGACACATTGCACCAAATCAAACGGCGTATGTAGACTGGAATAACCAGACGCTAGAAATTTGCACTCGCTTGAGACTGCTGACTTATTTCGCCGAACATAACTGATTTGAAATTGGAGTAAAAACGGGAACCATTGAATGTAAATCAGTTTATATACATTCATACTACAGTATTATATGTGTTGCGACCTACTTTTGTCAATTTCTAGGTCCCAAATGTTAGCGATTTAGCTCCTTTAAACATACATTATGGAAGAGCTAAATCTACCTATTGCCGGTCTTTCTTTAGGTCTGAAATTCTTTCTAAATTATTAGACATTAATTAACTCATCCAGGCCATAATCAATTCTCGGTGACGTCGGATTTCTCTGATATTAAATAGATTAAAACAGGTCAGCCATATTTTGATTTAAGCTAAAAAAAAGTGGAGGAGCGAGACTTAGCTTCGAACAACCAGTACGGTGGTTGAATTTATTGCACAAGTCTTGTCAAACCTTCAAATGCAAATATCTTCACTCGAGATGGCCCAGCAGACACCATTCATGACAAGGGAGAGAGAGAGAGAAATGGGGCTTAACGTCCACTCGACACAGACTAGGTCATTTCGGGACTAACACATGGTTTAATTTTATTTCAATAATTCGCTTGCGCGTAGGGGGTCTTTAGCAGTGGGAGGAAACCGGAGGACGCGGAGAAAACCCACGAGGTTGGACAGGCAACCCTACTCCTTGTCACGTACAACCGGGGATTCGAAACCAAGCCAGTTAACTCAATGACAGGTCTTATGATACAGCAACTAACCCAGACAGTGCAGAAAACTAGGACTTTAAACCCTATTTCATTTCATTTTTTACGGATCGTTTCCTTGAAGTTTGAAAATGTTTCAGTACTAAACTAACCCTGAACAATCGTCAATCGAGAATTGACACCCGCATAATCCTTTTTACAGGTCACGATTCTTAAATATTACGAAGCTTTAAAATCAAATAATGATCCCTTGATCAAATATAATTAAGATAAATACAGCTTCACCACACGTACGTCTTACACAAAAAATAAATCCCAACAATTCTTAGCTGCTTCATTTTAATATTCGATACCGACATTGACCGAGTCAGTTCTTCGGAGTTGCAGGACGAGAGGAGGTGGGAGTGTCTAGTTTTTTGGATGGTACGATTAAAACGTATACTCGTTGGCGTATAGACTTAAATAATTCAATGAAGAGTTTAGGCGGTTAAATTAGCCGCATAGCACATGGACATTGTATGGCGTACACCTATTCCACATGCCTATCAACCGTGGCTCGCTATACAATTTCATAATTTCAGACAACAGTTTTATTTCGTAATAAATTAAATTTTATATAAAAAAAAAAAGTTAATTCAGCGAATAATAACAGGCCTAATAATGGATAAATATTTATTAAAAATCAGGTATTCGTGATTTAAACCCACCTTGACACCACTTTCAATCCGGGTAGAGAAATGACGTAAAAACATCCTCTCGAGTGTTTATTTAGAATGTACAGGTGAATTCGCCGCGTGCGTTATTTGTTATTTATGGTCGAATGATTTATATGGAATAACGGGATGTAGATGGAGGGAAAGGTTTATATATAAATAGGAGATTAACACATCGGATATCAGTATTCACTAGTTGAATAGCGGTGAACACAGCAGAAGCTATATTAACCACAACAACCATAAGAATAGAAGGTTTATATTTAACTATAAAGGTAAGTTTATTTTAATACGAAACAACCAATTCTCATCGATTGTGGCAAAATTATCGATTTAATTGAATTTGGTGTAGTCCTTTGCGATTTGGGTACCTGTCTACATCTAAAATTTTACATAAGCAGATTGAGCCAACTTTGAGATACAACCCATTTTGTGTTTAACAGTCGACAGTTTAAAAGTCAAACATGAAATAAAAAATATTTACAGATGCATTGTGTAAGATTTAAATATAGAGCCGGGCGTACAAAAATATATATATTGAAAATTTTATTCAAATTAATTTATTTTGAGCTAAGTTGGAAGATGTAGCGTAGTTGTTTATTATCGTAGCACTGATAAAGACCCCTACGCATAAGCGAATTATTGAAATAAAATTAAACCATATGTTAGTCTCGAAATGAACTAGTTTGTGTCGAGTGGACGTTAAACCCCATTTCTCTCTCTCTCTCTCGCCAACCCTCTTCAAGTCAATTCTCCATAGGATGGTTTTCGGATAACAAAATTCTTTATAGCACAGTGCTTTGCGTAGTCCCGTCTTTATTAACCGGTGCAGAAAGTAGGATGAAAAAGCGAAATTTCATTTCATTTTATCAATTCGAATTTTCAGTAATTAGATTTTATTTCTAGATATACTTCTAATAAAGATTAATATTTAATTTTTCTTATTAATAAAAAGTATATAAAAGATATTTTATTTCCCTAGTAAAGATTGGCGTTTTATGGTTTACGCACGCCTTTGCAAAAAGGTATTCCTATTTGAAATTATAATACAAGAGCAAATAATATTAAAAAATTTTTTAGGCGAGGGATTAAAGACGTACATATTAAGAAACCTCATCTTATAGTTTATAAAGCTTGTATTTTCATTTATCTGATAACCGGATGGACATCTTGAATAGTATCAGTGATGTCGAAATAACACCACCTTATTTTTAGACAATATTTTATACAGATTTGTATCTGAATAGGGATTGGAAAATATACCTAGCCAATATTAAACCTCTTCTTATTAACTTGACGTTCAATAACTTCCGTTCATTACACTGTTTTTCCAAGAATACAACTTATAGCACTGAAATAAACCTTTTTTATTCAGTAATCCATATAAAAATTACTTTAATACATTCTTAGCCAAACAACATTTTTATTTTATTTAACTTAAAAAATACACAAATTTGTAACTCCCGCTACTTATTAAATAGTCCTCGATCATCAGAAAATTAGAAAGCAAATTAGAAAGAGCAAGCTTCGTTTTCCGTTTGTTTCGGAAAAATTCAACCACCCAAAATTGTAAATGGATTGTAAAAATTACATTATATAAGATCGTTGACTGTTACAATCCTTTGTTCATGGAAGATACCCCCCCCCCCCTCCCCACACACACACACGCACATACACTCACCCTGGCCCTGGTTGACATGCTATGAAATGGGGTTTAACGTCCTACTTTTCTACCCTAACCGAGGTAATGCAGTGTACAATGAGGGGAATTTTAATCAAATGGAGGGCCTGACAAGGACAGAGGGCTGTCTGGTCGTTCGGATTGGACGAAAAATCGAGGTCCTAGTATACATTGACGTGCACGTAAAGATCCCTTGGCAGTTGGAATTCGATATAAAAGTAGGCCATAGTGCCGCTGCCCAGACAAAATTTCACACATAGCACACTGTATGGTTTATGCACGTCTTCATAAGCCCAGTCGGAGTAGAACAGTAGGACGTTAAACCCCACTTCATTTCATTTCATTTCATTTCAAGGGTTCTTTTAAGTGCACGACAATGTGTACAAGAGATGTCCTCACTTATTTGTACCTTTTGTTTAACTTTGTTATAACCCCCTTTTTATAGGTATATAGAAATATGTATAGGTGTGTTAAGTGATCGCCATAGATTATAATTTATTAGTTTTATTTATATCCGGGTCAGTATATTATTAATTACGTTGTTTTCGTCTCTATTTATCAACCGAGGAATGGGTTAGAGTGACCCGAGGCAAATAGTGCATGGGCCTAATAACTACACCTCTATAGAAAGCACGCACCTCGTTTCTTCTCGATTTAATAAAAACTTGTGATTAATATATTACAGTGTTTGTGAACTTTAACTTAGTGAAAGATATAAAATCTTTCAAGTACACGGGTACGAAATGGTCTGGTTTCCATCTCATCAAAGAATATACGTATATTGTCTATAAATTCCGCATATAAATTAAAAATGAAATGAAATGGGGTTTAACGTCCTACTGTTCTGCTCCCACTGGGCTAATGAAGACAGGCATATGCCATACAGTGTGCTATGAGGGAAGTTTTGCCAGGACAGCGGCACTATAGCCTACTCTTATATCGAATTCCAACTGCCAAGGGATCTTTTACGTGCACGCCAATGTATACACGGGGCCTCGGTTTTTCGTCACCTTACCCACTTAGCCACCGTGTCTCTCAAATTCCACACATATACATGATTACTAAAAGAAGTGTGTAACCCAGCTAGTATTTCACACCAGACAAGGCCATACTAAACGTACTTGAGAACAGGGGGGTGGATGGCCGAATGGTTAGCACGTGCGCGCTGTATCATAAAGCCTGTCATTGAGTCAACTGGCGTGGTTTCGAATCCCCGGTTGTACGTGACAAGGAGTAGGGTCGCCTGTCCAACCTCGTGGGTTTTCTCCGGGTCCTCCGGTTTCCTCCCACTGCTAAAGACCCCTACGCGCAAGCGAATTATTGAAATAAAATTAAACCATATGTTAGTCCCGAAATGGCCTAGTTTGTGTCGAGTGGACGTTAAACCCCATTTCTCTCTCTCTCTCTCTCTCTACTTGAGAACCGACACTAATCTAGTTAACGATTTTCAGAAGTATATAATAATCTGCTTTGAAAAGTTTTAAGTAATCTTTTTGTGTATAACAGATGTAAACCGGAGTAGGGCCACATTATAAAACAATATACTAATTGTTGGATATTGCGCCCATTTAGGGCAGAGGTCTTTTCTCGAAGTAAAGTAGATATTTCCCTGTGTTCAGGATGCAGACAACAGTGGATATAACTCGTTTTGTTTTGGATATGTATAACAAGGACAGCGGCATTTCCGCCTACTCTTCTTCCAATTCTAACTGCCGGGGATTTTTTTATAACTTGTGCGCCCCCTCGCCGAACAACTTTGCACACTTTCATAGCTAACAAGAATTCTGAGGGAGAGACTGCGAATTTTGATGGTTTACATGACTAGGCCATATTTCTAAGGACGTACGAATGTAATAGTTTACGCACGACTAGACTATATTTCTATAGACCTACGAATTTAGTAGACCATATTTCTATTCACCTACGAATTTAATGGTTTATACGACTAGACTATATTTAAAGCTGCAATTTCATATTTTTAAGTTATATTTTTAAAATTTATTAAAATAAAGCCTTACAATAGATGGTATCTATAAACAGCCCTACCTAGTTAAAGATTAATCCTATAATTCACTATTGCCAGTTGAAAAATTGGCAAAAATATCATTTTCAACTTTGAGTTCAAACGTTTGAAGTTAGCTATTCCATGGGGGGGGGGGGATAGAAAAACAAGGGAGGTAATTGTGTTATTATTTCCGGGGTCAAAGGATTTTTAAGAGGGAGAATAATACCTATAATCGTATAATAGTGAGTTGACAACCTATTGAGCAAAAGACATAGAAATAATTATGTTTTGACTTTCTTAGAAAATATGAAATTATCGCTTTAATGGTTTACACGACTAGACCATATTTCTATTCACCCAAGAATTTAAAGGTTTACACGACTAGACCATATTTCTATTCACCTATAAATTTAATGTTTTACACGACTCTACCATACTTCTATAGACCTACGAATTTCATGGTTTAAACGACTCTACCATATTTCGATAGACCTACGAATTTAATGTTTTACACGACTCTACCATATTTCTATTCACCCACGAATTTAATGGTTTACACGACTAGACTATATTTCTATAGACCTACGAATTTAATGGTTTACACGACATATTTCTATAGACCTTCGAATTTAATGGTTTACACGACTAGACCATATTTCTATAGACCTACGAATTTAATGTTTTACACGACTCTACCATATTTCTATAGACCTACGAATTTAATGGTTTACACGAATCTACCATATTTCTATTCACCCACGAATTTAATGGTTTACACGACTAGACTATATTTCTATAGACCTACGAATTTAATGGTTTACACGACATATTTCTATAGACCTTCGAATTTAATGGTTTACACGACTAGACCATATTTCTATAGACCTACGAATTTAATGGTTTACACGAATCTACCATATTTCAATAGACCTACGAATTTAATGGTTTAAACGACTCTACCATATTTCGATAGACCTACGAATTTAATGCATTACACGACCTGACCCATCGTTTCCAAAGACCTTCGAACTTATTGGTGTAAAATTCATGCCAGGATCCTTAAAGCTGAACAGCTGCACCCGGTGACAGCCTTTTATTTAACACGGAATAAGTGACCATTCATATTATAAAATTAAATCATCATATGAATATTCTATAGGGATTATAAAAATATCTTATGTAGGTGTGCATCTGGGTATACTAAAGGGTAACGTGTAAGTGCCAATTCATATTATAACAGTAAATCATCATAAGAATATTCCATAGGGATTATAAAAATATGCATCTCATGTACGTGTGCATCTGAAAGGTAACGTGTACTCTTTTCTACGTAAAATTTGGGACGAGGCGTAAGCTGTTAACCTTAAGACTCATAGCACATTGAGAATGGAATGTATGGAGTAAGCCTGTTCTAATTCTGCACCTCTCGTGATTCACCTTACAATTAAATAATCTCGGACAATAGTTTTATTTGGTAGGAAATCGCATTTTTTAAAAAAAAAAAAAAGATGAATCCAGCGACGTTTTTTGCATAATAACAGACCTAATAACGTGAAAAAAATACAGTGCACTCTGTCACATCCGACCTC